TGCTACAACGACGTCTCTCGTTTGAAAGACGTCACTTTGCCACCTTAAAACGAGAAGTTCTATTCAACCAAAAACTTCTCGAGAAGAATTCGAGAGTTAAATCGCAGACGAATATCCACGATGGTCGGCGTCGTTAAAAGAAGAGAGAGAACGAGAAGAGCGGTAACAGTGGCGGCGGACGGATAGTTCCCTCTTAAAATTAATCCACGAGGGTTGCAAATAGCCGGTGGGCTTGACGTGCGGCCAATTGCCTCGCGCGTGAATCCCGCGGATGCATTTTCGCCGATTCTAATGGCCGACAATGGACAACGCTGTATCGCACAGGCGTTGCGAGCGAGGGGGATGACGCACTATGGGGCCGAGTCCCGAATTTCTAGCAAGCAGTGAAGGATGTAACGAATTGACTTGAAAAACGTTACTCGGGAGGTTTTTGGGGTCGCTAATCACGAATCCGGTGTCAGTTTTTCAAAATTCAAAGTGGTGGATCCATATGGCGGACGAAATTATTAAAAAATGACCAAATTCGCTTGAAACACGTCACTCGGGGGTTTTCGAGGTCGCTGATTACGAATCCGGTGTCGGTTTTTCAAAATTTTAAATGTATTTACATATACGGGAATTTCTTTACATTTAAAAATACAAAAATATGATGATACATAATTATAAATAATCTTACGAAAGTAATTTATTATTATTTAGTAAAAAAAATCTCGGCCATCATCCGAATCATACAAATGTGATGTTTCTGCTTCTAAAGCAGAGGAATCTGACGTTTTCACTGCTTCGTGCGAAGGTCGACTTCGGACTGAACTAGCCGACCAGTGGAGACAAGTAGAGACCGGATTTTTGTGGAATATCATGCTAGGACCATCCCCAAACACAATAAAACCATATTTGGTTGAAAATTCGAAACTTTTTTTTGGGCTGTTTGCCAGAAATTCGGGAATCGACCCCATAGTGATGACGGCGGCGAGCGAAAGGGGACATCAAGCGCGGAAGAAAAAGCCTTTGGCTTCGGCGTCGACGACGGACGAAGACGACGGGGGACGGATGGGAGAGAGCGAGTATCGCGCGATTCGCGCCCCGTGGCACGATAGGAACCTTTTCCAATTGACGTCATAGACACGCTCTTTTGCCCTTTTTTTCACCCCGCCCCTCGTCCCGCTGTCGGGTTAAGAATAACAACGCGGCGGGATCGCTCGCGCGCTATGTGTTGCAACGCACTGGGAATAGACGGTGGCCGACTACCGGCTACCGTCGCTGAATCGACTTTGTCGGCCGTGTTGCCCGAGAATATGGAATATATCCTCCACAAATCATGAACATGTAATTTTAATGAGAAATTCCCCGATGAATTTGAAGGTTTTCCTTCAAGGAGAAACGTCGAGTAACGGATGATCTTCCACGAGTTGGGTACAAGAGTGATATGGGAAAAGAGGAAGCTCTTTTACGAATTTAAGCTTCAAGGGTCGCAACATCGTATTCTGCAATTTATTTCAGTGCTTATTTTTTTAGCAGAATCTTAAAATTTAATTTCATAGACATATAGAAAATTAGAAAGCTGATAATATAAAGTATAAAATATTATAAGAATTCCTCGCCATTTTTTGTCGAGAAAATGTCGTCCAATTTTAATAGAAAAACTGTGATTATTCACGAGTTGTTAAACATCTTTATAGATGTCGTTTTATGACGACAATATATAGTAAGAGTGCCATGAACTATTATCTTCTACAAGATTCTCGAAGTATTATCGATGTATGAGTAATTTTTTATATGTTATCAGCTGAAAAGAAGAAGCTCAGGATAGAAGAATGAAGAGGCGGATGCAGTAACCACAACCGTGTGTGTATCTGATGTCAGAAATAGCCGTCGTCTTTAAAGTACGACCAGTACATTCTCCATTACGCATTCATACATGGGCAAGATGCATATGTGACTGAAATATGTACATACTGTTCATTTCCTCGTTCGAGGATTTCTTCTCCTCGCCAGTTCCTACCACCAAAAAAAAAATTACCAAATCTATTATATTAATACATATTTATTTGAATAGTACTAAGTAAACATTTCCTTCCAGAGTAAATACCTATTCAATAAAAAAATAATAGTTAAATAAAATTAATAAAAAATAAGGTAATCGAAAGACTCAGTTGAATAAATCAAAACAAGTAAATAAAATATGAGTCAATATGAGTCAACATAAGTTTTCAGGGTGTACTTTTTATACAATTTATTCGAAATGAATAATAAAGTTTCGATCTACTGTTAAGGTCCTCTTCAGTACATGTTAAATTAATATAAAAATAACAATTAAAAATAAAATTAAATTACATCCATAATGATAGCGCATACAAACTATACATTATTAAAGTTATAAAATTAATAGGTTTTGATAAATATATGTTTATATATACATTTAGTAAATATTTACATAGAATTATTCAAGTAAATATTTATTAAAATTTAATATTTTTTTTAATTCTACTTAAAATTTCAATATTTTTATCAGTGTACTAATGACTTTTGATTAATCAAATTTATTCTAACTCAGAATAAATTTTGTCTTAAATAAAATAAGTAGAGAACTTTTACGTTTATTACTGAACTTTAGGAATAGATAAAAAAGAATAAACAAGTGTAAACGGTGCGAAGCGCCGTTCTAGTCTATCAAGAATGTGGTAAAACAGCGGAGATAAAAATACTAAGCGCGAGGGATTCCCCTCGTCCCCCGAAATAACATCCGTAATGACCCATATTTCGTTATATTCGGAACTCGGAGTTTATTGACAGATCATCGTACGAAAGTGGATGCCACTCGATTCAATGCAGTATGTGCAACGAAACGCGAGGGGGATTCACTTTCGCGAAACCCAAAAATAAGGTTTGCTTACGCCTGTATGCTATCAACGTCGCGTAACTGTCAGTTCTACCTCTATCTTGACTCTGCCGCGTTTATATGAGCTACATAGAAAAAATGAAAACGGTTGCCACAACTGGAAATAATTATAATTTTCGTTCATCAAAATACATTTAGTTGTGATAACTGTAAGATGGACATATCTCAACAGCCATAACTAAAATATGGCATCTTACGGTTGTCACAAAATCATACTACAGTTCTTATAATCAAAAAATATATTGATGGACGACTTTTGATCGTGGCAACCATAACCATTTTTTTCCGTGTACCAATCATATATAAATAAATGTCCTTATCAGTTTCCATAATCAGTATCTCTTTATTCTTTCGACCGATCGCGCCGTGAACGTTTTCTCTTTATAAATTTTATTCGGCTTAAATCCAAAAGAATCTTTGAGGTAAAAAGAAAACTTGAAAGAACTTCTTTCCTTTTTACCACGATCTTTTCTACTCGGCAGAAAAGTCCAAACTACCACGGGTAGTTTTTCACCAACTTGCACGTGCAACTACCTGACTGAGTTATCAATGCCATACACAATACCTGCTATACTTTTCGGTCAGGTTGGTCAACACACTGCACATCGAAGCTTACACAATACGATCTTTCCGCCGAGCTGTATGGTTTAAGCGCCAATAACGCTTTTTCGAATTTTCTGCCACACCGTCTTCTTTCATACAAAGGCTGTCTTTACAGCAAATCAGTGTGTGACGTTACCTCTAGACTGATCAGCTGCGCGGCAGTCACGTGTGAGAATCTTCTGATTGAAATTTATGGGTGTCTCTTATTCTATTTGCTCGGCGGCCATTGCTAAAGCGTGATTTGCGATCGCGTGTAAATCTGCAGCTCTCTTTGACAATTCCGTTTTAACAATAACCAAGTAAAACGCGAAGCAATTTCGAGGCAATCTCGAATCTCTGCCATCTCGATTTTGCGGACACATGCCTCGCAGACACCGCCAATGCATCTCTGCGATAACGAAATTATCTCTCAAAGTGCAGCCGCGACGGGATCCCGAGGTTGCAACGCAACCGGAATTGGATTTCCAGAGTCATTAGAGTCGCGCCGCCGGAGCGCGCGTCCCATGACGCACGAAGAAGCCTTTCCTCTTTCTTTCTCTCTCTTTTTATCTTTCGATTTTCCCCGTCGCCGTGTAATCTCTCCTTCTCTCTTTGGGTCTCCAAAATGGCTACACGCAGCCAGCGTAGCGTCTACTTGGTATAAATACATATGAGAAGTGGGTCGCTGCCCTGAACCCCGGCCATCACCGTCTACGATCCTTCTTCCTCGTTAATCCCCTTCCCCGGAAGTGTCGTCTACGAATCCCGAGCGCGCGCATCTTTCTTCTATGTTTTCCTTTCAAAACAGCTTAATGACAACTCCGACATTTCATTAATATCATTACATATTAAAGATACAAATTCAATTTATTACTTAATTTATTGAATTATTTTTTTCTTCCAATAACGTAAAGCAAGGGTATAATATTTGATTTCTCTTTAAATCTGAATCAGTGAAATTCAACCGAAAAAAAAAAAAACAATTTGAGCATTATAAAATTGAAATATCGACATTGGATTTTAAATAATAAAGCAAAGTTAGTTAAGTTGGGGATTTCACGTATCACATTAATTTTAACTTTCACTGTGAATTCGCTAACTCCCTGCTACACACTTGAGATAATTAAGACTGACATCAATATAACAATCCATAGAGAGTAATATAATAACTTAGTAATGTTTCTATCTTAAATCAGTCTCTTCCGTTATGTATTTTAAATTTTCAGTGTTTCCGCCATCTCCCCTAATCTAACAATAAGTCACGCGACAGTTTAATGAATATTATCCACTCACGGAGTCGCTTCCGAAAGAGTAGAGGAGAGTTCGGCAGAGATACTGGTAGCAAAAAAAGGACATTGCTCGGCTGACCGCTCGCGTGACGTCGATTAGATAATTCGATAGAAGGGAAACCCGCGCCGTGTCTGTCGTGGATTTGTGCGGATGTGCAATCGCGGTTTTACTGGCAGGCCTCCGGAGGCCAGCCCCTGTGTCTGCCATATGACAATACCATCTGCGGCCCATGACGGGCGACCAGGGTACACCGATGATCCTGCGGGATACGTGGCTACGCGACGGGGGTACGGGAGCATCTTGCAAGCCTTCGAAGCCCGGCCTTACGAGACGGAATCGAAAGGTGTGTGTGCCCAGGCCAGAAAAGATGCAGCTGGCAAAAATCGCCGAAACGCAAAGTAACGCCGTTCATTGCGCGCATGACGTCGTCTTGTGACAAATGATCCGGAGGTGGATTATTATTGCATCGAATTGCCGTACAAAACATACAAAACTCCAATAAATTAGACTATACCTCTATTAAGGAGAGAGCTATATAATGCAACAATTAAGAAAAAAAAAATGCAAGATTATTTTGATTGTTTGCAGACAATGAGCATTTTACATTGTCTTAACATTAACGAGGATCGTTAATAGTTTTAAGTCGATTAATTGTATGCGAAAAGTAAGCACGACTTTTATTTCCATTAAAAGTATTTGCGTATTTTGCAAATAACAATTTAATGGCAAAAACAATAACTTTTTATTTTATCTAATTAATTATAGTTCTTAATTAAAGAAAATGAGAGAACAGAGATATTGTTTTTATTACCAACGGAGCAAGATGCATCTCGGAAACAGATGTCGCCTCTAGACAGCGTTTGTTAGAGATCCTCGAGTGCGGATATCATTTAAGCCTTTTTCATTACCTAGTTAACTTGTGGCTTTTAGTTTTAATCACACTTAACATAATAATGTAAAAATTGTTTGTTCAACTTGTAATTACTCAGTAAACAAGCTGACGTTGCTTGTCGTCATTTTGAATGTTAAATTAAACAATAAATTGCTGGAATGTTAAACTAATAGTTTGTAGTAGTGGACTTAAAAAATTACTGTAAAATCATCAGATCAGTGATTAATCACAGCTAGAAAAATACAATTTTTACATTATCAGATTAAGTCTAACTAAAAGTTAATCAGAAAAAATAAAAAATCGGGCCTTAGACAATTTTTTATCGATCCGCCATATGTTTCAGTTTCAAATTTCAAATCCAACTACTATGAAAAAATTCATATTTTAAATTTTACACATAAAAAATTTATATTTTACAAATTTACTTAAGTAGATAATAATATTGATACATATAAATTACTGAGTTAAATTCATTTTTAATTATAATATTATAATTCGCATAGATACTAACTTTTGTCTGTTTTTGAAAAGCGCAGCACAGTTAACTTGAAAATGGTGGTCGGTGTCAAAACTTTTACTTGAGAAACTCTAGCGTTTAAAAGTAAACTATACATAGGTGATGCAAAATAGAATAGCATATATACATTAGAATCGTGCATTTTCAAGAAATCTGATGCAGCATTTTGCGTCAATAAACTAATCATCCAAAAAAAGTGAAAGTTAAAATAATTAATTGAAAAAAATTCATTCAAGACCATAAATAAAATACGTTATCACGTGATTAAGTGTTCCTTTACTTTTCATTCATACAAACTTCGTTTCTCATTAAAAGGTCGATTATTTTTTTAAATGCCATTAATTTACGTTTAAATTATCATTTCCATCGCAAAGAAAAAAAAAATTTTTTGGGATTTAAAAAAAGTTTTTTAAGTAAATTTTTGATTTTGTCATTGATTTAATATTAATAAATTAAATTCGTTTAGTGTTTTGAAATATTTTATAATTTTAATAGAGAGAGACGTAGCGCTCTCTCTCTCTCCCTCTCTCGTGCTTCGCAATCGAGCAGCTGGTGACACTATCAACTGATAATGACATTCTTCAAGGATTTAAATTCGTCACGTGCAGCCATGAAAAGATAACACGCGCGACGAGCGTTCGTCATCGATAAGGATTTAAAAAACGCAGCGAGGCAATAACTTCGTAACTACCTGCTAATGATCTACACATTATCGCTATAACGTCATAATATCAAATTAAAACACGTTCCAAGAAAACCTGAGGAAAAAATCAGGCACTTACGTCGCGCTGGCGAAAAGAAAGTGCTAAGACAAAAAAAAACGCTATGTTCTCCAAACTATGTTTCAATAAATCTGAACATAACCTCCTCGGAAAAAAAATTCAACAAGACGAAGAGTACCCAGGTATCCCATCGTCATCGCAACATCGGCTACAGATCGTCAGTGATCGATCGTTCTCGCGATTAACAGTATTGACACATGACAAGCGTGCACGCGGGTGCGCGAGAAGGCGTTTGGTCGCATTTGGTCGGCGAGCAGTACCCGCGATCATATTCTGAGAGAGAAAGTGTTATGATTCGAGGACTCACCGCTGTGTCCAGTGTTGCTCGACGATTGGCCCATCGTCGTCGTTGTCAGCCCGGCGGTGGCTGCGACAGCGGCAGACAATTGTGTCGGGGTCGTAGGACGGCGGTGGTCGGGGGAGGACGTGGGCTCACGTGAAAAAGCGATCGCATGGGCGCGCGTGGAACGAACACATCTCCGCGACAACGAGGCTGCAACCCGGCAACAGCGGCGGCGAGGCGGCGGAACGCTGTCAATTACAATACATGGTGCATCCGCTGGCATCCGCGGTGTCGCTACGCGACGGCGGGGCAACGAGGCGGACGACCGCACTCTCGGCACCGTCGCGCCGCCGGGCGGTCGCGAACGCCGCGCGAGGTGATTGGCCCGGCGGCGGTGGCGTGTGCGATGCCGCAGCGCCGAAATTGATTCTCTCGCCGCGCGACGCGATGCAGGTGTTCGCGTTGTGTCGGATGCTGGCAATGTTTTTCCGCGGCGCCGCGCCGCGGACTGCGGACACTCTCCTCGCGCACCTGACTCGAGGATACTCATATTTTAGCCGGTGGAGTTTTGTCAGCAATTTTATCGATTTTTCTCGTGTGCTCCGAGTCTCTGTATGTTCATGAAACCGCAATGTAAACAACTTTTAATTATACCCGTATTGAACGTCAGATACATAATTGAATTTTTTTAACAACGATACATTATTGTATAATTTTACAGCATATCATTAAATAGACTATTATTAGTTGACACATCGTTGATTTAAATTGGAAGTTCGTATTTATAATGTAGGGAAACGACAGGTGATATGGGACACTTTAGGTTTTTTTTCAAGGTTTCATTATTTTAGATAAATAAAATCATAAATATAATATATGAAATACTATTTTTATACTCTTTTATAATCACTCTTTATAATCGCTCTTTATATGAAACATTCGTTTCATCGTATTTTTCTAAAAATGAAATAACCAAGATTTTTACGTTTTTAAATTATTCTCATATATTGGACAGTGGTATTGACAGAAAAAATGTTTTTAAACTATGTTTTTTAGAAAAATTAAGAAACAGGGCTACGAGCCATAAATTCGTTAAAATATTAACTAATGGTAAATAAAGACTGTCATTTGTATTAAAATATAAAGTTTAATAAAAATTAAAAACAAAAATTAAAAACAGTTTCATAACATACGTTTCGACCTCTGTTAGGTCATTATCATTGTTAAATAAGTCGCATGTTGTTAATAATGTAAGAAATTATGAATTATAATAATATAAAAAACGCATAAATTATATAGAAAAATATAAAAATATATATATAAAATAGATGTGTATTCTCTCTCGCATAATCGAAGTTAAATTCATTTCGGTTAATTCAGCAGGAAAACCAAAAAACTGCAATTGGTCTGATTATAAATGTAATTTGTAAAATCTTATGGCAATTATTTCTTATAAAATCGTATCGATGTACAATTATAATTATTTTGTTGTTAGACAATGCGGTAAGAGCAAGTTAAAGATGTTCAAGCTATAAGTTTTGAAATCCGAATATGTTTTTTAGTTTTATATCTCTGTAGTAATAGTAGGTTCCACTTATCAATGCATGATTTTAACGCTATCTTCTGTTCTGTTTCCATAACTTCTAAGTAATTTCCTAACATAAGTATTTTTCGAAATAGGAAAACGATCACTCGCCTATCTTATATTGTCATTTTATTATTGTTTAAAGTTTAAAAGTATCTTTTCATGGCTAATGCTCGACGCTTATTTTTAGTGTCAAAACAGGTCACGTGATCAAAATGACACATAATATTTACTAATTTTCACTATGATGTAAGAATATTCTTATATTCAAAAAGTATATTTATATACATACATTGTAGTTTTGACCACGTAATGTATTTTTTTGCTAAGGCTTAGTTCCACAATTCAAGATTAACTCCTATATATTTTTATTTATAAACCTTATACATATATTGTCTCTAATAAAACACAACCGTTAGAAGTCTCGCTGACTGCTCATAATTAAATCGTCCGATATCGCCCGTCATCTCATTGTTCGATAGATACTATCCGAATAACGCATAAAAAAACAATGTAAAAGAAAACAATGTACGAACAGTTTTATAAAACAACTTTATAAAAATCATTATATTGTATATATTGTATATTTATAAAAATATATAGGTATATATAAATTCTGAAAAATTTTTAGAAAAATTCTGACAAAAGTTTTGGCTAAATAGTAATAACTTCTACCATTGTTGTTTTATAAGAGTAGTATGTTTATGATCTAATAGAGATTTTGAGTTTACATGCTTCTTTCTACGCGCAATATTTATATAAACACTTAACTTAATTTTCTAAAGACTAGATTGAATCTCACCCTTTAAAAAATAATCTTTTAATTATTTTAAATAGGGTGTCTGTTATCCTTGAATTCGTCATTCTCTTAAATTATCAAATTAAAATTAACAATAAACCTCCCAAGTCAAGAATAAATTGAGCAATAATGGTTGTTAAATATATCTATAAATTTATTATAATGATAACACTAATATACGGTACGTTTCGACTTCACAGAGTCCTCATCAATCGTAAAAAAAAAATGGGTTTTTTACGGCTGATGAGGACTCTGTGAAGTCGAAACGTACCGTATATTAGTGTTATCATTATAATAAATTTATAGATATATTTAACAACCATTATTGCTCAATTTATTCTTGACCTGGGAGGTTTATTGTTAATTTTAATTTGTTAATTTATTTGAGCTGATTGTAATTCAATTTTAACTCTTAAATTATATCACTTAATTTTTATTTTCAAGTCCTAAGAAATATCCTGCATTCGTCTCATATGTTCTACTTTTGGTATTGATCTTAGTCTTACCGAAAGAAAATGAAAACATATGAAGTACTTATGTGTTTAGATTCCTCTAGCATCTTGAAGATATCAGGTCACAATGTGTTTAGCGCACTGCAGAACCATATGAAACAAACCGTAAAAGTATAACAAAATAAATGAACAAGGAATCACAAAGCTACATACTTTCGTCAGTATTTTTTTTTACACCATCATCCATCATGAATCCTAACTGCACCCACTATTCGCGTGTCGCACGTACATATATGTCCCAGGGTGGAATCGTGCGAGGAGCGTTCAGGATGGCGTGTAAAGACCAAATCGAGTCCGATCTCGCGGCGTGTGTTCTCGCGCGGTCGCTGGACGGCGACAGATGAGGAGCTATATTGCCGTCGGTCGGCGACGACCACGGTGTTCGACTAAAGTCCATCGATCACCCTTAAATCTTCGGCGAGGGCGAGATCGAGGTCTGCACGACGACGAGCCGTGAATTACCTTGGCAACCAGCCGTCAAAACATTGTGTACGTTAATAACGTCGACGAAGCGTGTGATCGGGAGAGCCGTCCGGCCAGTCACTCGGTGCCCTGTGAATCATTTTACTCTGCGACGAGGATCGTGACGACGTTGAACAATCGGCTGGAAACGATTGGAGAAACGTCGGGTCCGCGACTGAGATATGGTCTCCGGCGTGAAATCCGCTCGGTATCGTCATAATCCGGGATGTAGAAGCTGACGTCAACGAGAATACGATTCCATCGGGAAGCAGCGCCTCTCCGGGTCGCCGAAGCATGAACGTAGGGAATCCCCGGATCGCTTGTCTCGCGCTCACCGTCCTCGCCTTCTTCCAAAGAGGTCGGTAGAAGATTTAGGTGCTGAAGTATCTAGTCGCGATCTTGCAGAAATAGATCGCAATCTTTCTTAAGTAACGAGATCTAAAGAATGGTACGTTGGACTATCTGCGAATCTCGCGCGAACAAGATCGATAACCGGATTGCACACATTACTTTCGAGGACAAGTTGTTAACGTGCAACGTGTATAGTTTGTGCTATTTTATACATAAACACATAGCTCGCTTTGGTACCGCTCGAGACTACCTTGTAGATCTCACCAAGATCTCTCCTTAACATAAAAATTCTCTAACGACATAAAAAAAAGTAAAATTTTATATCTATAGAACAAAACGTTCAAATAAGAGATGTTAGATTGCCAAGTTTTATTTATCGCGTTCTTAATTTCCTGACGATATAAAAAATTTTAAAAGAATGCTGAAGTGATAAAAAAAAAAAGTGGTTATTCTGCATGCAGTCTAGTGCTCGCCACCTCGTAATTTTACGTCTACTTGAATCCTGTGAAAGAATTTGTAATTCCGTTTAATTCGGAGATTTTGATGTGATTGTAATGTCGATAATTTTGTCACTTCAGCGTTCCGTTAACATCCGTTTCTTATCATTGACAAATCAAATTTTCTATCTATAATAGAACAAAACGTTCGGGTAAACGAGAGCTGTCCTAAACAATAATCATGTCAGGTTGCTATTAAGTTTTATTTCTAGTATAGGTACTCTTAATTCTTTGATAATATAACTTACTCTCCTTACCATTGACAAGTGAATTTTGTGTCTAGAACAAACGTTGGAGAGATGTTTCCGCAAATACGAGAAATGTCAGGTTGCCAAGTTTTATTTATTGCACTCTTTCACGTATCACTTTACGAGTGCAACTTGTCTGTTTCGCAGGGTGGGCCATCGACTGTTTCAAGTGTGTCTCGATCGATGGCGACAACAAACCCTGTGATGACCCATTTCACAACAATGGGAGCCGCGCTTTCTTGGAGTCGCCCTGCTTAGGGGGTAGGAAAGGCCGGGATGGTCTCTTTCCAGCGACCGCTTGTCTCAAGATTGCCGGCGTATATGGTAATAAACCAAGTTACCGTGACGCGATATATATCATTTTTATTCATTTTTCAATATTTTTATTATGTTAAAACCGACTGTCCCTAATGCAGAAATCCAATTTAATACTCGAAATAAGTAATCAATTACTTATACCTTCTAATATTAAATCTTATTGTAAGGGGTAAGAATTTCACGTTGATAAGTACATTAAACTTTATCTTAATCAACTTGACAATTAATTAACTCGGCCAATTTAATACTGCAAATTACTTCTTTTTTATTAAATTGCGTCTAATATCCAAAATGAATAATTAATCACTATTATCAAGTATTAAATTTCTGTAAGTGGTGAGAATTTTGCGTTGATAAGTATTATTAAATTGTACCTTAATTAACTTGACGGCTTAGATGAATCCGGTGTGACCTTGATGGTGAGGGGCTGCGCATTGGACAGCGGAACTCTGACAACGGACTCCGAGATTATCAGAATGTCTCACTGCGGTGGTTTCTACTTCGATGACAAGTAAGACGAGCTAATATCGAGCTAAGAGCCGGAGTAAAAGTGCGGAAGTCGGAATTTATTACTTTTAAACATTCACGAATACCTCCGTAGGTACGTCCGCGGATGTGTGCAATCTTGCAGCGACGCGGACGCGTGCAACGCGTCGTCAAGGAATCTCGCACCGCTGATCGCCCTTGTGTTGCCGATTCTCGCGGGACTTGCGTGATCCATTTACACTTCGCAACGCGAGTGCGATCAGATGCTTTTTTTTTTTTTTTTTTTTTT